TCTTCATGATATTGCTGATTGTTTAAGAGTGTTGACATTAGATGCCTTGATTTTTTTTTCAGAAATTTTGTTTGCTAATCACATTTAACAAAAAATCTACTTATGCAAATCCGCAAGTAACTTTGACAAAGATGAAATAAAAATCTTTTACAAAAGTAGGAGAGATTACTTTTTCAAATGTTTGCTTTTCACAGAAATTGTTTTATAATTATCCACTTAATTTCAACGCATATTTGAGATATTTTTAGCATAGCGTTATATATAAAATTAGAGAAAACCGGAAACTTTAATAACTTTCACGCAATGCGTGATCGCACTTCTCAAAGTGCTATACGTAGTCCAATAAAAAAAGCTTGTACATTCTGATCATTATTTAAATTGAAATAATCAGTCATTTTAGTGTCAATTTTTTAAAAAGAAAATCTATATTATTTTTGAATTATCTTATTAGAGCTATAATATAACAATGAGATTTAAAAAAATTTTTGTAATATTATATACTTTACTTATATATATACTTTCATATATACTTTATCTCTTACATAATCGATAATATGCCATTATGAATAAAACGAAAATAATGGTTTTACTTAAATTTACTTCTACATGCAAAATAAAGAATCAACTCATGTAAAAAAAACATGTTTTTATTTTAAAAAATAAGATTGATTTTGGAATTCTTGAAATCTCTTTCATGCCTTCATTTATTAGAAGATAATGTAGAAATTGGATGCTTTCCAGCAAGAGACATAGATAACAGTGTAACACAAGTAAATTATTATTTCATCTTTGTTTAACATTTAGCAATGCTATATCGTATGATCTGTTGGAAAAGACATCCATTATTACTGTAGTATATAGTATACTATTGTATTATATACTATTGTATTATAATACATATGCTTCTCGAATGTGTAACAGTTCATGAAACGCATACAGAATTAAAAAAAAAATCTTTCCTTATTCCAGATGTCTCATGATCACCATATAATGGACAGTACAGGAAACGCATCTCACGGTATGCACATGGCTCATCATGGTATAGACCATGGTATAAACCGTGGTAATATGGATAATGGCAATATGAACCACGAAGGTATGGATCACGAAAGCATGCACGATATTGAGACTTCGACGGACATGTGCAGCAGTATGGGCATGCACGGTATGTCGGTACGTACAATCCGGTTGTTCAAAACTTGATGCCGTTAATGTACAGTCTGCTCTCCGCGATTCTTAGATGACGTTCCACAGCGGCTACTGTGAAGTGGTGTTATTCGAAAATTGGAAGATTTTATCGATAGGCGGTCTCATCGGTTCGATGATTGGTATCGCTATTATGGCTGCGCTCTATGAGGGCTTAAAATATTACCGGGAGTATCTCTTTTGGAAGACGTATAACGCCCTGCAATACAGGAGCGTTACGGTACCCAGTGAGAAGAATGTGGTAGCCGAAGACAACCGGGTCGTTCAGTAAGTTGTTCAATTCTTTTCGGGTGATCTTGTAAAAAGCATTATTTCCCATTGTTTTCGCTAAGAATATTAATTAATATAATTTTTTATTAATTTTACTATGTGAAGAATATTAAAGAAAGTAAAGAATGCTAGATATAATGCTAGAGAGTGGCATCTTAAGAGATATCATGAGAGCATATTGTAATGAACACATTTAAAAATCAAGACGCAATATTTTTTACAGGATCACTAAGTATATAAATGATACGTGTAGCTTTTATATTATAAATTTAATCATTTGATCTACTTTTTTAGTATGGTTGGCGAAGTAATCCACAAACAACCGTAAGTAGATCTTATGATACTCTGAGATTTTCTCTCAGAATTATGCTTTGTCTATTAACGGTTGTATTATTTAATTGACATGAATCAGCTTGTAAATAGTAACAATAGTAATAATTGTTTATATTTTAAAAACAATTCTTACACTATTAAAACATGCATGATATATCTTCTTAATAGATTTCTTAATAGATCCTTTGCTGGGTGTAAAAAATGTCATTTATCATTTTCAACATATACACTTCGTATCATAAGTTTCTTTATCTTTTAATTAGATATTTCTAATGGAATATGTGCATGTGTATTCATGTATTACTTTCAAATAATTTTTACTGCATATTACGAGTGCTTACTAAACAACTCAATCTCTAATTGATTTTAAATGTAATACTATTCTTTAAATAAATAAAAATACTTAAAAAATACTTAATTAAAAAAATACTTAACTAAAAAAAATACTTAATAATTAATAAAATTGAGTTATTCAGAACAAATAAGTATTTGTCTATCTATACCGAAAATTATCTCTAAATATACATATATGTCAATATATGAATACATATTTTAAATTATTAGGAGTATAAATAAGTTTTCGCCGTTTTTTATCAAAAATTAAGCATTTATTGTGAAAGAACGGTACATAATGTTTTATTCAAAGTAATGGCCATCGCTAGTTACTACTTTTTCTCATCTTTCTGGTAGCATGTGGATACCGCGTCGGAAGAACGCTTCATTTTTTGAGGTTATCCAATCATCGATACAATTTTTGGTATCTTCATATGATGTGCTGCTCAGACAAGCCATGCGTTATCGATCAGAACAAATGGTAATCGGAAGGAGCAATGTCTGGAGAATACGGCGGATAGGGTAGAACTTCCTAATTGAGTGTTTCTAAGTAGGTTTTGACCGGCGCCGCAACATGTGGTCGAGCATTATCATGCAGGAGAATAATTTTGTCATGCCTGGAGTAGTAGTAGGCGCGTTTTTCCTTGAGTGCTCGGCTCATCTCATCAATTGTATTCGGTAGAGAGCCTCCAGTAATGGTCTCGTTCGATTTAAGCAACTCATAATACACGATACCAAGCTGATCCCACCAAATACACAACATGAGTTTTTTCCATGAATATTCGGCTGTCGATGTTGACGCATGGCCAGATGGTCCCCATGATTTCCTCTTCTTTGGGTTATCGTAGTGGATCCATTTTTCATCACCAGTGACTATACTGATGCAAAAAACTCTTTCGTTTATGCCTGACAAGCAGCATTTCACATGTGAAAAATCGGCGTTCAACGTTTCTTGGCTTCAGTTCATGGAACCAAATTCCCTTACTTTTGAATCATTCCCAATGATTTCAAACGATATGAAATTGTTTGTTGAGTCCACTCCTAATGTAAGTTCTTTTTGCGTTTGGACGAATCTTCATCCAATAATGCTTCCAATTCCGCGTCTTCGTACACTTTCGGCCTTCCGCTACGTTCTTTGTCTTCGACATCAAATTCACCGTTCTTAAACTTTTGAAACCACTCACGACAACTTCTCTTACTTAAGGCAGCATCACCATATGCTTCTACAATCTATGAGTCTCAGCTGCAGATTTTTTCAAATTAAAGAAATAAATCAAAAGTTCCTACAAGTGACGCTTATTCGGCTCAAAACTCGACATTTTCGTACAAAAAAAAATATATGATGTTGATACAAAATCGCTAATATTTCAAGGTTATGGTGTTGCCGGATGTCCAATCTTACGATATGTCGTTTTACATCAATTTTAACTATAATTTATTAGTGGTCTTTTGTAAACGGCGGAAACTTATTTGTACTTTCATAATTTTACTATAATATAATAATTTTGATATTACATAATAATTTAAATAATTGTATAAAAATGATCTGCTTTTCATTTTGTATAATATGATTTTTTATGCTACAAATGAATAATGTCTAAATTTGTAAATAAATTTTTGAATTTTGCCTGTTTTTGCTATTTTAATCTTTAATATACACGACTGAGTCATTCGTAGTCTGCGCATTTTTTTTATATTAAAAGCACCAAATAATTAGTTTTAACATTTATATACATATAGATAATTTTTTTAACACACAATCTTACAAATACTTTCTAAAGATGTTAAAGTATATGTATATAAAAATCACTTAATAATTTGTATGTAAGTATTTTTATAAAAATAATGAAAATTAATCCGAGATATGACCGACCCATTGTCGTGTATAGTAAAAGAATGCAAAATCATTATGTGTTGTAAGGGTTAAGTGAATTTGGACATAATGAGCCACATTAATCTGTGCAGGCCGACTATGATGTCCTGGATGCATCTGTTTCAAACATTTCTGCACATTATACAAATCGTCCTGTCTTATTTTTTGATGCTAATCTTCATGACTTATAATGTCTGGCTGTGCTGTGCCGTAGTATTGGGGGCCGCCGTTGGTTACTTCCTGTTCGGTTGGAAGAAATCAGTGATCGTAGACGTTACGGAACATTGTCATTAACATTTAGTAAATTATTCTGGTTTACTCCTTTTAAACTGTATTTACGCAAAAATACGCACACGACTGCATTTTGGCGGAAATGCAAAAAAATAAGAGGACAGAAATTAAACAATTACGTTGTTTTCTACGAGAAATGACGTATAGAGAATCAATGTTTTCAAAATTCATGACACATAGTGAATACATAAATACAGCAAACAGGCGAGAACTATTTATTCTATATGTATAGGGTTCCATAATTTAACTTTTATTAGTATCTTATAATTTCTTACTTTTATTCTAAAAAAAATAAGCTATTATTTTTAAGCTAATTATTCTTATCTTTGATCAAATATTTTAAATAATTTTATTACGGAATCTATATATATATATATA